CCATCCAAGTTGACAACCAGCTTCTTTGCTCCTAACTCAGCTATGAAATCTCTCTACAAAGCTCCCTCAGCAGCTGCAGCAAAGGCTCTTGCTTTATGTGACTGCAGGCTGACACCAAAAAATGCATCCTCCTCGCAGTCACAACCCTAAAGCAGAGTTCAGCAATCCCCGAGCCATAAGGAAAGGTGGTTTGGTCAGCAATCACATGTTTTTGGGGGTGTTGGTTCAACAGAAAAACCCTGCAGTCACACTGAGTGGGATTTCTGCAAGGGAAGCAGCGGAAACAGAATTGTTTTGGGGAACATCCACCCCCCTTTGGTAGGGGGTTCACAGTTGCACCACAAATGAGAAAACACACATGGATGCTGTCAGTCTCCAACACCTGCTGCTGCTCTGCCAGTCCCATCCACTCACCACACTGCCAGCAGCTGTCTGTCCTTGCTTTCTCAATCCAACAGTGGCCGGCCTCCTTCAGGCCTCAAAGGCTTAATGTGACAAGAAGTTGACAACTGAGCAGCTTTTCCATCTTCCACACTAAATGTGATCTACATAAAAAGCACTTTCTTTAATCCTTCCAAAGTCAGCAGGATAATTGGGATTAATCCCATTTGAATAACAACTGAGAACTGATGGTTACAATTAAAATGTTTACAAGTACATGAATATGCATCTTTCCCCTTCCCACTGCAGAGTTCGACTCAAGTAGCACATCCTTGTTTTAATACTGAGACCTCAAAAGCTGAGCAAGGATCAGCCGACCACAGAACCACATTTGATCACAGGATCAGCTGCAAATAGCAGTGACTCTGTACTACCAAAACACGAGATACAGACACTAGAGCAGGGGAATGTGAGTTAGGGCTGAAATTAAATGATGTGACAGTCCACTTCTGTCCTCAGCACAGCAGTATTTCAACCCTGCACAATTCCCTCTGGCTGCTTTTGCAATATGAATGCCATGGACTGTTTCTAGATACCAGAACAGTTAGAATCTGGACAAAGATAAGAACATTTTGTAAACTCCAGGCTTGCCTGGGGTTGGAGGGTACCTGTCTCCTCCCCTCAGGGTGCTGAGCTATGGGTCCTGCAGCTTGGCAGAAGAGGTATGAGAGATGCAAACTGGGGTTAGATAGTGCGTCTGGGGCAAGAGAACACTCACTGTTTTATCTGCGTTGCCTCAGAAGAGATAACATGCCCCTGAGCCGTCAGCTTTACCTGGATTCACCTCAATATGAGATAAGCTATGAAGTCAGGAACAGGATTACAGAACAAACAAAAACCCAAACAAGATTTCTTCTATCCATCCCAGAAGCCTTTTTGCAGTTTATTCGCCACTCAGCTGTCAAAGCCAAGGATGTGAAGTTCATAGAAACATTCCCCTAGCACTGCACTCTGATTCCAGGTCTGAAACCAGCTGGCAATAGAGCAAATAATCTCGGTAAATGTATTCCTCTCTCTCACCTCAGCACTGCTCTGGGCACGTTATCTTCCTCTCCCTTTGTTCAACAGAGAAATTACCTGCCCTGCTCATACCTTAAATCCGATTGACATAATCATGGAAGAACTACTGCACTATTGTGGTTGCAGTAGATGATTTATGTTGGACTACATGATCTTAGTGGTCTTTTCTAACCTTGATTCTATTGCTGAAGGAAGGAAAGACCTAAAGGGAAAATAAGATGTTAGAGCAATCCCCAGATCAGAGCTCTCATGTGAAATACCCACAGCCAAGTGAAGTTACCATCTATCACACTGTCTCCCCCCTTTTTTAGACACAGCTGTGGGATTACACAAAGGCCTGATAACAAATACTCTGTCCAAACAGCACCCCTTCACATCTCCCTGGTCACAAACGCTTTTGGAAACAAAAATTGATGCTTTCTACAAAATATGGTGGTGAGATGCTAGAACAGGTTGCAATTGCCCCATCCCTGGAAGCATTCAGTGCCAGGGTGAGTGGGGCTCTGTGCAGTCTGGTTTAGTACTCGATCGGTTGACAACCCTGCCTGAGGCAGGAGAGCTGGCACTTCACGACCCTTGAGGATCCTTCCAACCCAAACAATTTTATGCTAATCCTCAGCAGGTTTGAGACTGCTTGAGAACATCACATCCATGAGGGTCTACGAGTAGAAAAGCAAAGCAGCGTGTGCAAAGGGGCACATCTAATAAAGGCTATTACCTCGCCCTCAAACACTGCTGAATGTATTTCACGCATTCATAGACTTTCAACGAGAGGCCCCAGGCCTGCAACCGGAGCTCTGGGTTTGCCTGGAGATATTTGACTAAAATCAGCCTGGTGGGCAGAGGACTCCTCCTCCAGGGTCGGGTTACAGGGCTGGAGACAAAAGGCTTTTTCATGCATGCCTGCACAAGTGTTAAGGCAAATCAATAGAGGATGGAGGTAGCCAAGGTCAGATTGGTTGAAAGCTTTAGAACTGAACCCTGTAGCAGGAGCATTCAGACACAAGACACAAACTTGGCTAAGGTGTAAACAAAAATAAAGCAGAGAAAACAAACCTATTTCCAGATACTTTTTTTGCTCCCTCCTCATTTTCCACTTCACCACAGTTGAGGAGATTAAGCAATGTAAATGATGTCACTTGTGTTCTGCAGCAAGGTGGCTGGATGGGGTGCTACGAGATATGGTTTACAGCTTGTGGCAGTAATGGAGACAGGAGGACAGTTGGGCTAGATGATCTTGTGGCTCCTTTCCAACCTTGTGATTCTACATCCAGACAAGGGCAAAAGAGAACGTGCTACAGCTGGAACACAGAATGGATGAAGAAAAACAGAATGGGCTTCCTTTGCATGAGGAGAGACTGCAAAGCAGGCTCTAGCTATCTGAAAAGAAGTAGAGAAAGCAAAAAAACAGCTATCTTGTGTGCACACAGCAGAATGGAAAGAGTCACAGCAAGGAAAAATAGATATGAAGAAAAATACATTTGCACAATAAATGTGGTCCAACTTTGAAATACAGACCCCCTAGAGGCAATGACATTTGTCTTTGGATGATTCTGGTCTCACCTGGCCAATGCTCTGAGCAATTTGAGCTGAATTTGTAGTTGGCCCTATTTTAAGGAAGGGCTGAACTGGAGACCACCAAGAGTCTCTACTTGTTATTAAACTCTTCTGTCATTCTCAAGCCAGCAGCTTCATCATCTTGCCTATGTCTCAGGATGAAGACTTAATACATATGTGTCCTTTCCACATAAACTCCTTTCCCAATTTCTCCACAATTTCTCCGAGTCTCTCCACACAGACAATCCTCACAAAGGAATGTGTGACCATCCCAAAAACAGAGCCAGCCAGCATGTTTCACCACCTCACCAAGACACTGAAGCCTTCAATTACTCTACATTTTTCAAATGTAGTAATTACAAGCTACAGTTTGATCATCAAGACAATACTGCAACATATTTCTATGAAAATATGTGTTTTAAGGCTCATTGAAGCATTCAACCATATGAAACACTCCCTGGGTACTAAAGCCAGCCAATATCAAAACCAACATTTTAACAGTTATAACACCAACATTCACTTTGCTTTCATTTAAATCACAGAGCACACCCACACAGCTTGTGAGAGATTTCAACACATTTCAAAACAAAGGTTACCTTCCAAGGGCTCAAGCAGGACTGGAGGAAAAACAGGAGTTTTTCTCACCACTCCAACCCAGGCAGGTTGCAGCAGCCAGGCAGGGTTACAAAGAACTGCGGTCTTGCAAAGGGCACAAAGAACCAGATCAGTGAGGAAAAGATCCAGATGACAGGCCCACTGCCTCTAAATCCGTATCTATCTGAACATGAATGTGCTTTCTACATCACCAGCAAAGTTGGAAGAGTAATTTCCTAACCCTGAAAACAATAAAAACACAAACCTGTGCTGATCAAACTGAGTTTGTCCTGATAAAAATCAGGAGTTGAGTCACTCAGATCCACGACTGCCTATAAACACATTCAGGTATCAGGGTCAACAAAGATAAGATCATCCACAGGTAAACTTAAGACATAATGGTTTCTTTCACAGGGCGGTCTCTAGAAAGGTCTCTCAAGTCCAGCACATCAAAATAACAGTAATAAATGGTACACAGATGGATTTAAAAACAAGAGTAAAAGCCAGGGCTGACACAGGATCCCTTCCACACCCAAAGGACAGAGTCGATCTAGTGTTATGACTGGAGGAGATCCTGGAAGCTTGGCCCAGCCCCCCAAGAGTGCTGGTGATGGCCAAGGGAGTTTGACCCCAGCCCAATCCTCCCTAAAGGACCGAAACAGAGCAATCCTAAACTCTGTATTTAACAACACCCACTACGCCCAACGGGAACCCTGCAGAAATCAGTATCTAAAATGGGTGATAAAGAGGCAGAGGGGGAGCAGCGTGACAACAGATAGGGGAAAGAGAAACCCCACCCCTACATTGCACCAACACCCACCCTGAGGAGCAAAGAGCCTCTCCTCCTTCTCCGAGACAAATAGGGGCTGCAAGGATCCCACAAAAGGTGGTGGAGAATAATATTTGCACAGAAACCTTTGAGCGGTTGGGGACACAGGCTGAAATGGGACCAAAGTCCCCTTTTACGGGACAGAAATAGGCAGGAAAACGTGTGATAGCCTGAGGAATGCCCCCTCCCACACACATTTAAAGCGTACAACGGAGCATTGGGGAACCCTATGCCCAATTACAGGACACTCAGGGCCCCCGAAGCCGTGGACACAACCACCTTAATAAGGTGGGAAAGCCTGCAGCAGCGTGGGGAGAAAGCCCGCTTTGTAAAGTGTCAGAGATCCCGTAAAGCCGTTGGAAGGGAATTCCCCCATCAGACAGAAGGGCGCAGGGTCCCTTTTACAAGGCAAGGAAGCGTGGAGCTCCCCGAGGGTTGAGGAAACGTCCCCTGTACATGACAGGAAGACGAAACCCCCTTTTCACGGTACGCGCACACCCAGGGAGAAACACGGTCCGCAGCCCCTGACAGAAGGACGGGGAGGGATGGCGGCTCCTACCGGCTGCAGGACGCGGCCCCACCGGGGGTGCTGTCCGCCGGGGGCGAGCGGCCGGCGCTGGTCCCAGCACTGACCCTACTCCTTCTCCGCCGAGGGGGCTTCTGGCCCACGGGCTCGGCTTCCATGGTGAAGAGTCAGGTTGAGGAACGAGAGGAAGGGGGAAACCGGACGACACCGCGCCGCTTCCGCTCGGCGGAAAATGGCGGCGGCGAAAAACAGCGGCGGAGGCGAACCGGCGGTTTGAAAATGGCGGCGGTGGAGGTGGCAGCCAATCAGCGAGTTGCAGGGAGACGCGGGGGCGGGACGAGCGAGAGGGGAGGTGAGAGGAGTGGTTGGGGGGAAGACTGTCGCCGCCGTTGAGCACAGCGCCGCCTTGTGTCCTGCGCTGCATCGGGCAGCTTGGAGGACTTAGGAGAGGGGAAACTGAGGCACGGAGTCATTCCTCCCCCAACCCCTCCGTCCTCGTCCCATTCTCATCTTTTGACAGAATCACAGAATCACAGAATGGCCAGGGTTGGAAGGGACATCAAGGGTCATGAAGCTCCCAACCCCCTGCCACATGCAGGGCCACCAAATTCCACACTCAATACCAGACCAGGCTGCCCAGGGCTCCATCCAACCCGGCCTTGAACACCTTCAGGGACGGACAGGGCATCCACAACCTCTCTGGGCAGCTGTTCCAGCACCTCACCGCTCTCTCTTTAAAGAAAACTCCTCGGAAAACGCAGAGCAAACACCTCACAGCCTCGAGGAGGGTAGCAGTGTCAACCCCAAAGGCAGAAATCACCTGAGGAATAGAGGAAAAATGTGTCCCTCCTGAATCTCAAGAATATACCTTAAATAAAGAGGATGAAATATTAAAAATATACCTCAGAAATAGGGTGAAATATTAAGACTATACCTCAGACACAGCCTCAAAATACACACTGAAGTGGTTTAAATGTGGGATGCAGCCCAGTGTGGTTGAGATCCCACAGGCCATAGCCTTTTAGAGAAGCCTGCAGTGTCCCAGCATGAAACCGATGTGTAAACTGTTTTAAACGGGGTCTGAAGCTGTGATAGTGCTGGAGAAAAGCAGATGTCTTGGCTACAAACCCCCATAAATTCTGCCTTGGGAAGCTATCATGCACCTGTGAGCTCCCACCCACCCCACTTCAGCTTAAAGGGTGTTTTGAGCAAGGTGCTCGAATGGGAAAATGTGTCCTCCTTGGATGAAATCTCAATTTTCCTCCATTTCAGCCCTTCCCCTCTATGAAAAGTGGCTGTTAATGGTGGGGCAGAGTCTGTCCTGGAGTGGCAGCCCCAAAAGGTCCCAGAAGAGAGGAGAGGTAATGGTTTATCTTCACTTAGAAATTGGAATGATCTCCTTTGGAATGCTTTTGGAACAGAAAGTTTTGGCCAAAAAATCTCCCTTTAACAACGCTGGCACCCCAGAGTGCTGTGTTGGAACCACCTTTTGCAATTTATCATGTTCATTCCAGGTGCAGGTCGGTCTCAAATTCTGTGCAGCAGTTAGACGAAATGCTTTGAAACCCATTTAAAACCCCACATATGTGCCAGGTATTGGCTGTTTTTTAGTCAGGAATCAGAAATGGATTCTTCAGAGGTACTAAAATACAAACCCAAACTTTTGAAGTGGGGTCTGCAACTTGATTCAGAAGTCGATACCCCTTCTTTAAGCTGAACAGAGAAGCCTGCCAAAGGGTTAAACATAACCATATGCAAGGCAAAGGTTTGAAGGTTTTAGAAAGAAGTTGTACTTCTATTTTGAAATGTACTGGTGGGAAGGGAGGAAGACTGAGCACACGCAGTACACCAGACTTAGAGTATGCCAGAGTAGTCAGACTCAGCACTGATACCATGCCAAAGCAAAAGGAATTAGATGTGCTTATTCTATTTTAATACAGAATTAACATAACAAAACTGTGAAGTTTCTTTATTTGTCCAAGCCTGAACAGCTTAGCAAATTTTACTGCCCCACTCAGTATTTCTTTTACACTGGTAGGCATTCATCTGAACCAGACCAATTCTTTCATTTCTTTCCAGTCCTTCTCCAAAGCTCTGTCTCCTACCCTAGAGACCTTTTTCTCCTCAGCGGAGTCCTGGTTTCTAGGTTTGAAAAGCTCTAAGTCTTTCAGAACCTCCTGATTTTTGCATTCTGCAGTGGCCTCAGCCACATCCATTCCCCCAGCAGTGGGCAGCAAGCCATGGTCAAATGGTTTTTCCATCTGGTTGGAGAACTTGGAACAGGCATTTGTGATCTGAAAGGTACTTGGGGCATACTTCTGCTAAAACTACAGGTGTGGAGGTCATGAGTGCAAGGCATATCCAAAGATGGGGTCACCAGGCAGAGTCAGTGCTCTCTTGCTGAAATCAAGGACAATATGGGGAGAACACCCATGGCAGGGAGGTTGGAACTTGATGATCTATAAGGTCCCTTCCAACCTAAGACGTTCTATGATACAATGACACATCATTTCATAGTACCATCATCAGGTACAGGTGAGATGCTGAGTATCCAGCTTGCAGTTGACATGGCTTTATTGCCCCCTGAGTCCTTCAGGGTAAGGTGGAAGGTCAGCATGGAGCTATATGTGGAAGGTGACAAGTTTTCCCATCTTCCAGGAGAACTGCAGAACTACAGCTTGGATCTGAATGACCAAAGCTTGGAATTTTAATAAGCATAAGTGGATTTAGGATACTATGTAATAACAGCTCAAAGCCAGGCATTAAGCTCAATGCAGGTTGGTACATCATCCTCTTTCTTGGCAGTCAGGAGATCAGGACAGAATCTCAATCTTCCTGCAGACAACATGCTGGCTTTATGGCCACATCCCCAGTAGTGTCTGAGGCATTTTATATCATTGAAGGTTGACTAAGGCAGCCCAGTGCATGTCAAAGACAAATTAGGGTTGAAGATTATGCCCACACAGGGTCTCATGAGTGGAGCAGAAGTAGAACTACTTACCAAACACACCTCTCAGGGGCTTGCAAGGGGGTGATGAGAGTCCCACGAGTGCTACAGGACCCACCTGCTAGCAAGTGCTGTTGGGCTTGAAAAATGCATTTCCAGAAGCCTGTGATGCTCCAGGAGAAATTTTAATTTTGATCTTTGCTTCACGCTTCATCTTCAGGGCGATAACATATTTTGCTCAAAGGGGGGCTTTTGCCTGCTGGGTTTTTTTTTTCTCCCTGTTCTCAGCAACGAGTAATAAGGACTACACCAACCTAAATGGATAGCCTGTCTCATTTTGGAAAGACTTTTTGGATTAAGTAGGGAATCAGTGACCCATGTGTTAAGGACTTACGGTTCTCAAACAAGAAAACTTAATTAAATGAAGATTAAAGCATGCTTCATTGACAGCAATCTTTTTCAGGATTCAGAGCATTGAGTTATTTTGCAGAATTTTATACCCTTGGCAACATTGCTCATTTAAGCACTTACACTACTTTGAAAGTAGTCGTCTTGAGGATTTGAAGCAGCTTAGACATTTACGATGCAGTAAAACCTTAGGCCATAAATTGCACATGATTAAGGTGTGTGTCACCATCACTATTTAGAGACATTAAAAATATTACTGTATTTTCATCTTGAAAAACCTAGAAAATAAATGCCATAACACTACAGGAAAATTGCCCTTGCGTTCCAGGTAGTCAGCAAGCATAAAGATAAATAACACATGTGGTTCACAGTCACAACAGGAACTCTGCCAAGTGACACAGTCAGTGTGTAAAAGCTCTTCCATAAGGCTTAGAAGATACCCTAGCTGCTGCTGTAAGCCTCGAGTGATGTGTTTCCCAACTGTCACACACCATACAGAATTAATTCCTTTTAGAATATAAAATTAAGTAAATTAATTTGGATAGTCCAAAACACTCTGCTCTTCCATTCTCACTTTCTACAGACATTACAGTTGGACCTCGTTTGTTTGTTGCCTCATCCTATGAGCTGGCCAATGTGAAAAAGAAAAGAAACGGTTCTAATAACAATGAAGCCTTGCGTGTGTTATTACAGTGCATTCCATCTTTCAGAAAATAAAAGAAAAAAATGTTTTGCTTTTACATCTTCAAACCAGTTGTTTACACGGGCTCAACGACAGCATTTATCATTGTCAGAGATTTAGGGCCATTAGAGAAGCCACATGAACTGCAAGTAATCAGAAATGTCAATCATGTGTTGGCTTTGTCTGCGGCGATTGGAAATACCCTTGCTCAAAACTTTGCACAGCAGGGGAGCAGGTCTTCAACTGCAACGTTACAATGTCCTTTTGACAGTCTTGTGAATTTATTTTCAACACCATTCAACCAATGCTTTTCCAAAAAAGAGTGGAGAGGCTTCCAGAAATGAGAAAATTTCATACCGCCAACAACAGTGGAATCGTAGAATCATAGAAGATCCCAAGTTGGAAGGAATCCATAAGGATGATCAAGTCCAACTCCGGAAAATCAAATGTGTCTACATGTCTACACAACGTTCAGATTAATCTTAATAATTCAAATTAATGGTGAAACTTAATTCTTCCAAATCTCTTGATGCAAAGCTTCAGTTTTCCATCCCACTAAAGGCAGTGCTGCTAGCTCTGAAATTGAACAAAGGGAAGCACGAATGCTGAGTTCTTAGATGGCTTATGAGCTTTCCTTGATCTTGGAGTTGAACTCAATGATCCTCATGGTTCCCTTCCAACTCATAATATTCTATGATTCTTTGATTTTCTACCTCTACCTTCCTATGGAGCCAAGGTGTCTCTCAAATGACTCTCACAGAGGGAGGTGTTCAAGAAAAGCATAGATGAGGCACTGAGGGACATGGTTTAGTGGCCATAGTGGGGATGGGTTGATGGTTGGATTAAATGATCTTAGTGGCCTTTTCCAATTTTAATGATTCTATTAGGGTCAATGAAGAAGTGAATCCATGCTGAACTGGGGCAGTTTCACAGTATTAACAATAACATCCTAGTGAACAATAAGGGATCTGGCTCAGCTCTTCATTTGTTTTAAACAAAAAGCTTGCAAGACTGGCAGTTGGGTCAGCCATTAAGAGCTGCTAGGACACTCTGCAGAACCAGATAAAGTCACATCATTGGCAGGGGAAAAGACACAACCTTTCACCAAGGAATCTGCACTTGCTCTTGCTGGATGAGATGGTTTCGGCTTTACAGCCAGGGGAATGCAGGAAGTTGGTTACTAGAAGTCCTGCAGAACAAATTGAAAGTAAAAGTGGCCATGA